TCAAAACCACACAACTGCATGGAAATTGAACAACCTGCTCCTGAATGACTCCTGCGTAAATAATGAAATTAAGGCAGAAATCAAGAAGTTCTTTGAAACTAATGAAAACAAAGAGACAATGTACCAGAATATCTGGGATGCAGCTAAAACAGAGTTAAGAGGGAGATTTACAGCATTAAATGCCCACATCAAAAAGCTAGAAAGATCTCAAATTAACAACCTAACACCACAACTAAAAGAACTAGAGAACCAACAGCAAACAAACCTCAAAGCTAGCAGAAAACAAGAAATAACCAAAATTGGAGAACTGAGGGAGACAGAGATATTAAAAACCCTTCAAAAAAAATCAATGAATCCAGAAGCTGTTTTTTTGAAAAAAAATTAATAAAATAGATAGAACACTAGCCAGATTAATAAAGAAGAAAAGGAGGAGAATCAAGCAGACATAATCAGAAATGGTATGGGTAATATCACCATGGGGTAATGGTAAGGGCGATATCACCACTGATTCCACAGAAAAGCAACCATCAGACAATACTATAAACACCTCTATGAATATAAACTAGAAAATCTAGAAGAAATGAATAAATTCCTGGATACATACACCCTCCCAAGACTGAACCTAGAAGAAACTGAATCCCTGAATAGACCAGTAACGAGTTCTGAGATTGAGGCAGGAATAAATAGCCTAACAACCAAAAAAAAAGCCCAAGACCAGACGGATTTACAGCTGAATTCTACCAGAGGTATAAATAAGTGCTGGTACCATTTCTACTGAAACTATTCCAAAAAATTGAAAAGGAGGGACTCCTACCTAATTCATTGTATGAGGCCAGCATCATCCTGATACTCAAACCTGGCAGAGATACAACAGAAAAAGAAAACTTTTTAGGCCAATGTCCCTAATAAACATTGACTCAAACATCCTCAATAAAATACCAGCAAATTGAATCCAGTAGCACATCAAAAAGCCTATTCACCATGATCAAGTTGGCTTCACCCCCAGGATGCCAGTTTGGTTCAGCATACACAAATCAATAAATGCAATTCATCACATAAGCAGAACTAAAAACAAAAACCACATGATTATCTCTATAGACAAAGAAAAGGCATTTGATAAAATTCAACATCCTTGCATGTTAAAAACTCTCAATAGGCCGGGCGCAGTGGCTCAAGCCTGTAATCCCAGCACTGTGGGAGGCCGAGGCGGGTGGATCACGAGGTCAAGAGATC